TTATTACTGGAAGACATTTGAACAAATCCTTTTAAGAGGTGATTCATGACTTCGGAAAACCTTTGGCAGACCCGCCCACCGTTGGAATAGGTTGAGACTTGCTCAAACGGTATCAGGAGAAGGTGAGAAACACCAGAGAAACAAATCCACATGTCACAATGATCCGAGGTGGGTATCAGGGAAAAAAAAAAGAAAAAAAAAAGCCATATTTCAAACACTGACTCAATATTTTGACCTAGCCAAATCTCGCTGTATTTACAAAACTTGTCTTGTTGTTGCAAAACACACCATTTGAGAAACTTTGGCTGCACCTATAAAGCTATAGGGGACGTGGTGGCTCAGTGGCTAAGACGCTGAGCTTGTCGATTAGAAAGGTTGGCAGTTCAACGGTTCGAATCCCTGGTGCCGCATAATGGGGTGAGCTCCTGTGACTTGTCTCAGCTTCTGCCAACCTAGCAGTTCGAAAGCACGTAAAAAAGAAATGCAAGTAGAAAAATAGGGACCCCCTTTGGTGGGAAGGAAACAGCGTTCCGTGCGCTTTTGGCGTTGAGTCATGCCGGCCACATGACCACGGAGACGTCTTCGGACAGCGCTGGCTCTTCGGCTTTGAAACGGAGATGAGCACCGCCCCCTAGAGTCGGGAACGACTAGCACGTATGTGCGAGGGGAATCTTTTTACCTTATAAAGTCATCCTCCCTTGTCCCAAAACTTGATTCCAAGGAATCAAAGCCACATGGAATTCAAAAGGTCGAAAATTTGCAATACGGATAGCCCTCGACTTACAACCGCAACCGAACCCCAAATTTCTGTTCTTAAGTGAAACCTGTCAAACTCGCAAAGCAGATGCCGCAGGGCATCTGTCGGGACCCTGACAAAACCTTTGTTAAGTGAGTTTTGTCCCATTTTCTGATTTTTCCCTGCCACAGTTGTTAAATTAGTTTAGTTTTTTTTAGATTAGTAACACGGTTGTTAAGTGAATCGGGCTTCCCCATTGACTTGGCTTGTTGGACGGTCGCAAACAGGGATTGTATCACCCTGAGACACCGCAAGCATCGTAAGTACGAGTCAGCTGCCAAGCGTCAAAGTTACAACACCGCTGAAAAAATGTTGTCACTGATTTATGACCGGTCCTTGCATTTACAAACAACGTAGCATCCCTGTGGTACATGATTGTGATGTGGACACTTGGCAACTGTGTTTGTGGTGCTTTCAGCATCCTTGTGGTCCCACAATCCCCATTTGTGACTTTCCCAGCCAGTTAGAAACTGACAGGGAAGGTCACAAGCCATGGTCTCACTTAATGACCCTTAACAACACATTTTCTGGTCCCTATTCTGCTCGTAAGTTCAGGACCTGTATTCAGCTCCCGTTTTGGAGGTAGTCCTCAAATTACAACCACTCGTTCAGTGACTGGTAGGAGTTAAGACGGCGCTGAAAAATGCGACTCACATCTGTCCTCGCACTTACGATGGGCGCAGCATCCTCATAGCCACACACCATCAAAATTTGGGGTGCTGGCAACATATAGAGTTAAAACCAGAAATATTCTTATTGGGAATTTTACCAGAGAATTATAGTAAAGAAGATACATATTTGATTATTCATATAATAACAGCGGCTAGAATTGTATTTGCACAAAACTGGAAAGCAGATAAAATCCTGCTGGAAGGAGAAATGATAAAGAAAATTTTATAGTGTGCAGAAATGAATAGATTTAACATTGAGAATAAAAGATAAAGAGGAGTCGATTTCAAGATATGGGATAAATTTTATGATTGGTTGGAAAAGAAATATAAGGACATAGAGATGAAGAGAATAGATGGGAGAAAACAATTAGAAAAATAGATACCTAGATGATGTCAAGTAAAAGGAGAAAGGGGCGTGTGTAAAAAGGTAAAAAATGAGAGATTATAAAAATGTACGCAAATGATGAATAAAAATAAATAATAATTGAATAAGAAATTGAAATGAGAATAAAAATAATTAGAAAATTGGCGCTGCTCGAATACCACTTTAGATTGAATTGAAAAGGGAAACAACAGGAAAGAAGGGAAGGAGTAGAGAGAGAGGAAGGGAGAGGAGAGGAGAAAGAAGAAAGGGAAAAGGAGAGGAAGAAAAGGGAGGGAAAAGAGGAGCAGAGGAGAAGGTTAGGAGGGGGAAGAAGAGAGGAGTGGGGGAAGAGAAAGGGAAGTAGGAAAGAGAAGGAGAGGAAGAATGAAGGAAGTAGGAGGAGAAACAGGAAGGAAGAGAAGGGGAGGAAAAGAAGAAAGGTTGGAGTAAAGGTAAAGGGTAAAAGAGCAGCCCCGAAAAAGTAAAAATGAAAAATGAAAGTTAAAAGAAAAGATGAATGAAAAATAATGGAAATGACTGTACATGTAAATGTGTTTATGAGAAATAAAAATAAAAAACTTTAAAAAAATTTTTTTGGGGTGCTTGACAACCGACCTGTTCCCAGGATCCCAGGATCCCCATTGGTGACTTTTACCAGCCGGCTTCCCAACAAGTCAAGTCAATGGGGGAAAGCTGGATCTGCTTAACGACCATGTGATTCACTTAACAACCACAGCGATCCACTTAACAACCATGGCGGTTCACAGAACAATCACGGCAGGAAAGGCATTAAAATAGCAGGCGATTCAGTGACTTGCCTCACTTAGAGACAGAAATTCAGTCCGAGTTGTGGTCGTAAGTTTGAGGACCCCTTGTATTGTATTTCCTCCTAAGGCCTGGCAGGAAGTTTGTCTTTTCCACAAAGGCCCCACGCGCCATGCCAGCCTTCCCCAAAGTTCCCCACCTCCTAGCCATGTTTCATGACGCCCTACTCTGAGTTTTGAAATGCACGGAGGCTTTTTAACTTCCTGGAAAGTTAGTCTACTCTGAGCAAGGGCTGGAGGCTCAAAACACCCAGGTTGATTTCCCTACCTGGAAGATCCAGGATGGAGCAACAAATTACTCCCTGTTTAAATATCCTGCAGGTTTTCAAGATCAAAAGACATTGAAACATCCTCTTGAGAAACTAATAAAACCCAACAAGGCAGACTCGGACTTCAGAGGATCATTAGAACTGCAGAAAAAACAATGGCTACCAACCTTCTTTCCATTGAGGACCTGTATACTGCAGGAGTCAAAAAGAGGGCTGTGAAAATATCTACAGACCCCTCGCATCCTGGACATCAACTGTTTCAACTCCTACCCTCCAAACGACGCTATAGAGCACTGCACACCAAGACAACCAGACACAAGGACAGTTTTTCCCCAAACGCCATCACTCTGCTAAACAAATAATTCCCTCAACACTCAAACTATTCACTAAGTCTGCATTACTATTACTATTAATCTTCTCATCCTTCCTATCACCCATCTCCTCCCACTTATGACTGCATGACTGTAACTTTGTTGCTTGTATCCTTACCATTTATATTGATATTGTTTCCTAATTGCTTCTTTGTACCCTATGTCTATCATTAAATGTTGTACCTTATGACGAATATATCTTGTCTTTTTATGTACACTGAGAGCATATGCACCAAAGACAAATTCCTTGTGTGTCCAATCACATTTGGCCAATAAAGAATTCTATTCTATTCTATTCTATTCTATTCTATTCTATTCTATTCTATTCTATTCTATTCTATTCTATTCTATTTTCTCTCCTCTTCTATTTTTTCTTCTCTCCTCTATTTTTTCTTCTCTGCTCTATTATCTCTTCTCTTCTTTTTTCTCTCTTCTCTTCTCCTCCTCTCCTCTCCTCTCCTCTCCTCTTCCCTACTCTCCTCTCCTCTCCTCTCCTCTCCTCTCCTCTACTCTACTATTCTATATTCTATCCTATCCTATCCTATCCTATCCTATCCTATCCTATCCTATCCTATCCTATCCTATCCTATCCTATCCTATCCTAATTCTATCTTATCCTATCCTATTCTACATCAATGCAACCCAGTTAAACGGCAAGTAGAGGCGGAGAACCAGGATTCTACCACTTGTGTTTCCAGGAACAGCTGTAAAAATTCCCCGCTTCCAAGTTTGGGGAACAGGTAACAAATTTCTACCACCACACTCAACCACAGCAGAATGCAGAACTATCTTCGGATTTAAACCATCAGCCCCACGAGGACTAGAATCTTCACTGGATCATCCTTTCTAGAAGACAGACCCCCCAGGATGCTATCAAACAGATCCAGATTTGCCTCCAGAAGGCCTAAAGTTAAATCCCAGAACTTTCCAAACAGTCGCTGATAAAATTTTGAAAGTCACATCTATAAAAACCTGGCGGGGATGCCCAACACGGTGACTCAGTCCGCAGATATTTATATTCCTTTTTCTTTGCCTATAAAATAGGCAGGGCCCCATACAATTGTTAGATATGTATTTTATTATTTTTTTTACAGTTCAGCCACAACATCACAGGGAAAATGCGACTCAAAGCAGTGGGAAAGGAGCCCAGCAAATGCCCTCAAATGCACGGACCACAACACCCATCCGGGCAAGAGGTTGAGGGGATTGTAGTCCAGATGTAGGCCAAAAAAGACTGGGGGGAGGGCTGGAAAATCTCACAAACACTTGGCACACAACCCTTACTTTTCTGCAGCGTGTCTCCGCTGCTTTCACTCAGTTGGAAAGGGAAATCCTCCCAGGGAGAACCCCTAGCTACTCTGCCCATGCTCAGAAGTACCCTTTTTCTTCTGCATTAAAGCCACGGAGGGCCAGCGGGAGAGAGAGAGAGAGAGAATCCTGAAAGCGAACTTTGCCGCTTTCGCTCCTTAAACCGGCGCCGCTTGCTTTTCCCCAAATCGCAAATTTAATAATGCTTCTTTTTATTTAAAGAAACAACAAGGCCAAGTAGAACCTCTCCAGGAAGAGCGGGTTGTGTAAGAGGCAGATAACTTAAGAATATATACAATATTTTTCTCCCAAAAGGCCGATCTCAACCGGATCGCAAACTCCAGCACTTTTCCCTCTCCAATCTCACCTCCCGAAAGCAAAGCCCCGAAATCTTTACCTGCGCTCGGACTCGGCCTAGGACGGAGTAAAAAAGGCCCCGATCTTTACACCGGAGGAGGGCAAGGGAAGGGTTTTTTTTCGGCGCAGGAACGTCGCTCGGGCACCCCCCTCTACCTCCTCGCCGCCCGTCTCCGCCCGTTCGAGGCCGAGCAACTCCTCCCTCGGTGGGCGTTAGCCAAAGGGAAGCAGCCGGAGCAGGGCGCGGCGGGGAAGCCTTGCGCAAAAACGCACGGGTCGGGGAGGCGAGTTGGAGACGGAAGAGGGGTGGCCCGGGAGGGTCTCTCTCTCTCTCTCTCTCCGATCCCCGGTTTCTTGAGGGAGACGGAAAGGGCAAGAAGCGGGGAGGCCCATCTCCTCTTCCGCGGTTGGAAGTCTGCTTCCTCTCGTCCGCATTCTGCCCGCATTGCAACACCCGGGAGAGCAGCAGCCGCGCCCCGGGAGAGAGCTTGACTGCGCCCCGGAGCGCAAAATCGGTTTGCGCGAAAAGTGGGGATAGGGGGTGGGGGGTGGGAAGAGCGCACGGGATGCAGACTTGCTAATGCGCGATCCTCAAAGCGGCCGGATTTGCAAGGGCGGTGCAGCCCTCTAAGCCAAAACAGCTGGTTTCCCAACTTTTTTGGTTTAACGCGCGAATAAGAGGCGCGAAGCTGGACCGGCTGCATTACAGTCTTGGCTGCGGTTAGGAAACCCAATGGGGGTCTGTCCTCCCCCCAACGGGGCGCTCTCCAGCGGCGTCCGACTACAGCGCCCATCACTCCCTCCCAGCAAGTCGATTAGTGAGTGTACAATACACAGGTCTGGCTTAGGGGAGGTTTCAGGATCAAGGGCGCTTTGTTGGGGCCGTCCCAGGTTTTCCAATGGGGCACCCCCTTTTTTTTGATAGACGTTTCCAAGAAGTCTGACTAGGGGGCTCAGTGGTTAAAACACTGAGCTTGTCGGCGGTTCGAATCCCTAATTCAGGTCTCTTGCGTGAGCAGAGGGTTGGACTAGATGACCTCCAAGGTCCCTTCCCACTGTTACTGTTAAGTCCCTCTCATTATTTTTACCCGCTTTTAAATAAAACAACTCAAGGTGGCAAAGATACTTAAGGCTGCTTCCTCTATCCGTTTTCCCCACATCAACCTTGTGAGGTGGGATGGGCTGGAGAGGAAAGGAAAAGATCAGCCCAAAATCACCCAGCTTTCAAGGCTAAGACGGGACTAGAACTCACAATCCCCTGATGATCGGCCCACAGTCACCCAGCTGTCTTACTTGACTAAAATGGGACTGGAACTCACAGTCTTCCTGTTTCTAGTCTAGTGGTTTCATCACTAAACTGGTCTCTGACACGACATGCAATTGTTTGGATTCAGACAACCACTGTCTGGATGATGGTTTCTCCTTTGTATGGGATGCAGGGGAGAGATAAATGATACTTTTAAAGAGGTTGAGGCTGGGACAAAGCTGAGACACTCCAGCTGTTAGATCATGGGTAGGTTTCCTCTATTATAACCTGACTTTCTGTAGTATGTTTGCCCACGGCTAACCATGGTTTAATTTTCAGGTTTTGTACACAGGCTGGCTAAAACACAAACGGAGGGGTGCGACCCAGTGCAAAAGCAACCTGTTATTTTGCCAAGGTTGAGAAATCTGCCTTATTCTGCCAGCTCCAGTTCATTCTCTACCCAATTTAAAAATGTTGCTAGGGCCTGGACAACAGAAAACCATATTCTTCCAAAAAAAAAAAAAAGAGAGAGAGAGAGAGAAGTTAACTTTCCGCCCAAAATGTTCAGGGCCTTTTTTGTCTTTCAATTTTGCTCCAAATCAAAGCATATTTGTACTGGGAAAAAGAAAGACGATGGAGATGATGGATGCTTTCTGAATTTTATAAATAAATAGAAATAGGACATCCTTGCCAGCTATCTGTTTCAGAAATTTCTCATTCAGACTTCAGGCCCATCTGTAGTTATATTAATATAGTTAACGGGAACGTGTTAATTACCATTTTTATCCATGGCTTTCCATTTATTTGATTCTAGTTTTCTAATATTTTGTCAGCTGGCTTGAAGGGCCAACAAGGCACACAGGTGAGTCAGAAATCTAATAAATAGCCACTGCATTAGGATATGGCTGAGGAGAGAAATGGCTTTAAATCCCACCCCTCTTCTCGCTTTCCTTTCCTGTGGGCTGCCCCAAAATTTCCACCATAAACGTCAACTGCAAGGACTGCACCAGTTAGCAAACTAAAAATTGTCCGAATTTTCTCTTCTTCTGTTTTGCCCTTGTATGTCTGAATACCTCAGCACAGGGAGTGCCACTATTTAATTGACTTGCAAATCGTTCCAGATTCCTTTGGGCCAAAACAGCCGTTTAAAAAGCTTGTAAATCTGCAAATAAAGGTGCTACGAATGAACCAGAGTAAAATGTGATTAAAAAGTTTGAAAATATATCCCTGTAGCCTGTTCTTCTAGACGTCTTTATTAAGAGTCATTCCAACTGGCACATTTTGGTATTGTACAAGTCACAATTCATAAGCTTTTTTTTTTTTAAATATATATATGTGTATATTAAAAAAAGCTTATGAATATATAAGTATTACTGAGTGTCCTCTTTACAAACAAGAAGATAAAGTGCTTATAAATAGAATGCCGCAGATGTAGATGGAAGGACATCCATGAATACTACTATTCCGGTGGGGGAAATCTGGTATGCAGAGGGGGTCTTCAGCCGTCAGACATTATGCCAAAAATTGCCAATCTTTCTCTCTTCCATCTGTCTCCATGGTGGGTCCCTGTAAGACTACCAAAGATTGATGTTGAGATTCGGTCTACGCAATGCTTCAGATTGCATGGGGAGGTTGTACTTGGAAACAGAAAAGGATGAACATAACAGCTATCGGGGGTTCATTAAAATAGCCACGTTCTTTTCCAACTTGGAAGAAACACTCCTGCTACAGCTGCACGATTCTTTCGTTGATGTCTTAATAAAATTTATTTTTTAAAAAATATTTTGTTAAATTTCAAAAACATGAATCAAAAAGTGAAAGAAAGTTGAAAAGAGTCAGATGAAAAGCAAGATCAAAGTGCAATACTGAAAGAAATAAAACAAATGGCTGTTGGCTTGCTTCAGTACAGATTTTAAAAAATACATTCAACTCTTACTCTAAAATTAACAATAGGAGAAGGAAGGTATGTTAAATATATTTGCCAGCTTGAGTTATTTTGTAAAAACAATAAAAATGGGATATAAATAAATAACTTTTAGAATCCCATATAATCCTAACCATCAGATCCCATGTTCACTTCTCTTTCTTACCAAAAGTGTCTATGCTTTGATGAAATTGAGATAAATCTTCAAATTTCTACATCGTTCCAGGACTTTCAAAAGTAATCCAAAACACCACACAATAGTCAAAATTATACTAGGGGGGGGGAGGCAATGGGCAGCTACATATATTTGGTTTGAAAAGTAATCGTGATGAATGACGAAATTCTTGTATTGGGTGGGACGACAGAATGCTGCACTTCTTAAACATGATGGAAAATTCTGAAAGATTCAAAGAGGTTTGAATCTTTGATGCCATTTTAGTTGGTGTTAGTAAAGAAATTGTCCAACTGTAGATTTCTTTCTCCACTGTACAGGTAGTCCTTGTCTTAAAACCATCCATTTAGCATTTACTCCTATAAAATCTTAACATTGGAAGGGCTAAATGATGCTGTGCTTCAATGGTTAGATGGCCTAGGCGTTGGTATCTGAAGCAAAGTTCAAATAATACATTAATATAAATTGCTAGTCCATGTATGCTATTCCCTATGCTAAATAAATAGATGAATTGGAAGGGCTCCCCAAAGGACATCAAATTCAATTCCTGGTAGTATCTGCCTGATCTACAGGTAATCCTTGACTTACAATCATTCATTTAGTGACCATTTGAAGTTACAATGGCACTGAAAGAAGCGATTTACGATGGGTCCTCGCCTATATGACAGTTGCAGCATCCGCATATGAGTCATATGATAAAATGGCTAGAGAGAAAGTCCCTGTGGATGGACTTCCAGCATGAGTCTGAAAGCTCAGAAGACAAAACCTCTGGTCCCAGATCAGATCCTGCATACGATAAAAATTCAGATGCTTGGCAACCGAAATGTATTTTTAACTGCTGAAGCGTCTGTGATTCCTATTTGTGACTTTCCCAGCTGGCTTCCGGCAAGCCAAGTCAATGGGTGGGTAAATCAGATTCACTTAACAACGGCATGATCCACTTAACAATTACAGTGACTCACTAAACAAACCTGGCCAAAAAAAAAAAAAAGTTCATAAAATCAGGTGCTTTGCTTAGCAATGGAAATTCTGGTCTCGGTTGTGGCCGTAAGTCTGAACAGAAAGATAAAACCCAAATTATTTATGAGCTGGAAGAAACTTCTGCGACGCTTCCAACAAGGACCCTGGATCGGAATTGGAGAAATGGTAAGCTTCATTTCACCACTCAGAAGTTTTATCAAGACACTGGCACCGGTTTATCTCTCTGTGAATGCCCCAACACTAAATGTTAACTTCTTCAACACAGCGATAAAAGGATAAGTTCAATTTGCTCTAGGGTGGATGAACAAACAGTGAAGATAACTGTGAAATAAATAATCTTGTGGGTAGAAACAGTTATGTGTTCAGATATCTAGAACGGTTATCAGATCCACAAAAGCTAAACAGATCTTTCCGTCATTGGAAATCAGCCAAAAAAACATGCTTATTCGGCAACAGGTTTATTTCTAACTTTTAACCCTACTCTCTTTAAACCGAATGGGGAATGTGTAAGATTGATTTCAAAAGAATATACAGGTGGTCCTTGACTTACAACAGTTCATTTAGTGACCGAAGTTAAAACAGCACTGGAAAAAAAATGACTTGCGATCGTTTTTCACACTTATGACCGTTGCATCATCCCCGTGATCATGTGATCAAAATTCAGACGCTTGGCAACTGACTCATATTATGACAGAGTGTCCTGGGATCGTGTGATCCCCTTTTGCGACCTTCCAACAAGCAAAGTCAACGGGAAAAACCAAATTCACTTAACCGTGTTACTAACTTAACAACTGGAGTAACTCACCTAACAACAGTGGCAAGAAAAGTCCTAAACTGGAGCAAAATTCACTTAACAAATGTCTCAGGATAGAAATTTTGGGCTCAATTGAGGTTGTAAATCGAGGACAAGCTGTATATTTCATTCCTTTTGAAACACAGATTTCAAAAGAATGTGTTTTTCTTTTTTTTTAAATGTAGATTTTCAAAAGGCTGCATTCATCGTAGAGCGTTTAATTCAAAATGCCCCTAAAAGATGAATTGAACACGGTTAGTAGTACTTACTTTGCATCATAGTGTAGTTAGTCTCTGAATCCAACATTAGAAAAGGACAGCTTTCCAAATCTCCTTTCAACACCTCTGACGGTAACAGATTGCTGGCAGGGGGAGTGATCTGAGCCACATTTTCTTCCATATCCAAAACGCAGAGAAGGCACTCCGGGGGCGTAACACCTGGCCCTCTGGGGAAGAAGTCATTTTCATTCTTCAGGTAACTCCTCAGCGCCCCGCTGTGGTGAGATGCTCGTTCACGGGACCAGGCCCAGTGAGAGGGCTCTCTCAGCATTATCTAGATAAGAGGAAGCCTGATCGTTATTATGAGAGTTGGTTTCAGAAGACCGTTATGTCAATATCGGAACTAACACCTCCCTTTTCAGGGGAAGAGACCTGCTGCTTTGCTGAAGTACGTGCAGTTAGAAAGAAAAATAAATTATTATTTTTTTGGTTTAACATACACTGGAATTTAGTGGTCCACATGCAGGAATTTTTCTGTTAAACCCCATCTCTTTTTCTCAATAAATCTTTGCTAAATTTGGTGCGTGTTTTCTTTTTTGTGCCCAGCATCTTCAACTTATTTATCAACATGTAAAGATGCCATGCCAAGTATCACTAGACTTCTAATGCAGTATGTATTAAAATGAACATTTGAATCTTGTAGTGTTTAACGTGGAGTGTTACTTTTCATCTTACATGCATGGAGACAGTTGGTCCAATTCACTCATAAATCTATTTTTATTTATTAAATTTGTATGCCATCTACGTGGGCATGCCCCTGTGGTTTTCTTGGCAAGGTTTGTCTTAAGTGCTTTGCCCTTGCTTCTTTCTTTCTAGGGTTGAGAGTGGATGACTGCCCCAAGGTCAACCAGCTGCCTTTGTACCAGTGGTGGGTTGCCCCCGTTTCGGACCGGTTCTATAGAACCGGTAGTAAAACTGGATGGAGGCTCTGTCCACTGACCCCAACCTCATCAGAATGCTTCTGCGCATGCACAGAAGAGCGTGCACGTGCTAAGTAAGCATGCCCAGCCCCGTTGTGAACCGGTAGTAAAGGTAAGTAGAACCCACCTCTGCTTTGTACCTAAGGCAGGACTAGAACTCTTGGTCTTCCACTTTCTAACCATGGTGTCTTAACTATTATATCAAACTCGCTCTGCTAAAAATCATACTTGTGAAGAAAAATATTTTTGTTAGGCAACTACAAAAAAACCTGATAATAGCTAGTACAGACCTTGCAGAGACAAGGAAGCTGTCTTACACACCTAATGAGAATATTGGGCCATCGTTTTTGCAGAACATCAGAGAAGTGTCTTTTTTCCAAGGAGAATGACTTTGGACACACCATATGCATACTATGCACAACATTAAATTTCATTCCATTATTTGTTGCTTTCCCTCAGTTATCCTCCATCACTCCCCCACCCCGCTGCCAATATCTACTGTAGGGTTTCCTTTGCAGTATGGGAAATAATTCTGCCCTTCCCTCCATCAAGCCACCGGTTTTAATCAGATTAAACCGCAGCTGACCTCATCGCAACATCGCTGGCTCACGAACGCTCTGTACTTCATTTTAGCCCAAAAGCCATCTCTCATTTTTAAGAATTGTGGAAATAGTTTCCTCCAGTTGTCGCCAAGTGCCCAGGGGAAGATTTCATATTTATAGTCTTCCGTGTCTTCTTCCATGTCATTGGCTAAGTACCTATAATTAGGAAAAAGAGATGTTGGAAGCAGGGAAAGCCGCCGGGATTCCTTCAGTGACATAATATGGCATAATTTCTCAAGAAAGGCTGAGTCACTTTCTCAGTTTGAAATCCATCACTTTTTACAACTGTAAAAAGTTATAACAGTCAGAGTACAAAGTCAGATGTTGTCCACATTCAAGGACAGCTTGGAACATGGAAATAAGGTGGTAGAAAACCTATATCTTCCACTTGTAGTGGAAAGCAAGGAAAAATTCCAAATAACAGCTTAAATAAGGAAGTACCAAGGAGAACCCCTCCCCACACTGAGGGCAAGTACTGTACATAAACAAACCCCACTTCCTTTTAGCAATAAAGATGTTATCTAGTTGGTAATGAAACATCTAAGAACAAACAACCAAGCTCAGAGAGCACCAAGGATTCCACAATTCAACTCTTAAGCTACAGATACACTCTTCTATTAGAGTACCAAATGTCAATATAATAATGTAGACAAATGTTTTCCACTTCTACACTACGTCCTTTGCTCTACATCATCTAAAGATTGCTTATGAATTATTTCTGAATAATGTGAATTCAGGGGATCTTTTTCTAGATGAACTAGCCATCTCCAGCCCTAAATTCTGTCCAGATACGTTAATATCTTTAAATGGCCTAAGCCAAAAATCTTGGCAGTCTTTAAAGCAAAACAAATGAATAGGACAACCATGAAGCTCAAAAGATAACAACTGTGCCACTTACAGAGCTATGAAGAGATTGATCCGTGTATATTCTTTTGTTTGTAGGCCAGCTCGTTTAAAGTACATCATAGTCATGGCTATAAGATACTGAATGAAAAGGTGAGTTTTAATATTTTTAAAGACCGGAATTGTAATATGGGAACAGGGAAGAAAAAATCATCCTAAGTACATGCATAGAAACAGAACTGAAAGAGTCAAAATACCGGTACTGGCTTTTATTAGGAAAGCTGTTATTGCTCTGTGGACTTTTGAGAAGAGGCTTTAATAGTCAAATTACCCTGATACGACAGAAGGTTATTGAAAGGAAAAACTAAGTGGCAGCTTGCCAGCTAAGCCCTTCCTAGTAGGCTGTTTTTTAAAAAATTTCCTTTACTAAAGAAATCCACCAAGAACACAAAAGTCACAGAAAAACCCAACACATTTGCAGTTATAGCATCAGGAGCTCTGCGTTGGGAAAAACTTTTATCTTCTCTTGAATGGTTGAGTTTGGGTTGCTAAATAACATTATCACGGTAGCTTATGCTATGTAAACAATTAAGCATGCTGTTGCCATGTTGCCTCCTGGTGCGAATGCAAAACACGGGAAGAACTGTCATTGTGAATTTAAGTCCAAACTAATAATATCACTATGGTTAGCTGGTTTCATTCCTACAGCAGGACTAGAACTCATGATCTTTTGAATTTTAGTCTGATACCTTTACCACTAACCAACTAGCTCTAGTTTTGGGTTACCAGTGTCCAATTTAAGAACAGGTTTTATTTCTGGTATGCTTCTAACTATGATCAGTACAGCTATAAAACAATTGGCACACTATATTACAATTACTCCTTACATACTATAAACAAGGAGCGTCTACATTAAAAAAGAAAATAGAATGTAATAGCCCTTCCTTGATATATTGGTAGCCCTCAACTTACAATTGCGCCCAACATTTCTGTTGATGAACAAGATAGCTAAATGAGTTTTTCCCCATTTTATGACCTTTCTTTCCACAGTTGTTAAGTGAGTTGTTGCAGCTGTTATGTTAGTAACACAGTTAAGTGGATCTGGCTTCCCCATTGACTTCGCTTGTCAGAAGGTTGCAAGAGGTGATCACATGATCCCGGGAAACTGCAACAATCATAAATATGAGTCAGTTGCTGCATTTTGATCATTTGACCATGGGGATGCTGCCACACCGTGCCACAGACTTGAATATGAAATACAGTCACAAGTCACTTTTTCAGTGCCATTGTAATTTCGGTTACTAAATTAATGGTTGTAAGTTGAGGTCCACCTGCATTTGTTTAGGTGGGGAGGTGTTTGGGGGAACAGAATGTATAAAGAAAAGAGATAACCAGTATAACCTATTTTTCTGGGAACTGGAACAATATACTCTGGAAAATGGAGGCAAAGGTCATTTTACCTACTGCCTGCTAAAAATTGTTTTGTTATTTTAACAAAAGCTGTTAAGTCTCTTATGAAAACAAATAAACAGAAGCCTATTCTGGAACATCCTGTCTATTTGTGTGAAAAGTAAGCTTCCAATATTGTCAATTAAAATTGAGCTGTAAAACTAAGAACACAATATTGATCTAATACTGGAAGTGTTGTTGCACGAACATAACAGGAAACATACCTTATCTGAGATTCTGTAACACGTGTCCATGGACAGGAAGTCTTGTACCAAGCCATCCTCTGATGAGAAATAGAGGGATCCAATTTAAGCTACATGATTCATTATTACAGACAAAGTTTAAATTCAGGTAATACAAGGCAACCTATAGTATTTTATGCTATTTTTATAGCATCTGAAAAATATTATTAAATAAACCCAACTCTTGAGCATAACGCACAATGAGCATTACATCCTGTTACTATAGAATTTGCCATGCATTTAGAATCAGAAAAACGGGAAAAACTGGTGAAATCATTAAAAGAGATTCAATATATTAGCTTTCCCACCCCAAAAAAAACACATCACCCCATGTTTGAGTGGGAAAGAGGAGATCCAACATTTTCCTGAACATATTTTTAAATGTCAGTAACCTTAATTTTTGTTAATTTAACCTATACATTCTCAGACATAGCTTTTAGCCATACCATCCCAAAGCTACCTATTCTAAAAATCTTTTGTCTTTCCCTGATTGACTTAAAATAAAACATTTTGCCATTCTGAAGTGAAGAAGATGTCTTAAATCAGCTAAGCCATGATTTACTGAAAAAAAACATATCACACAAGACCATAAACCAGAGGTTGGACAGCAATCATTTTGGATCCTAGAAATCATGATGTGATTTTAAAGATCCAACTGCCCTTCTATTAAATCCCATCACATTTAAGTGAGAGAGTGTGATTGCATTTCTTTTTTAATTGTGGGGTTGGTGGTGGTGGAGAGATTTGAAGGCAAGGTTTGCAATCTGTCAGGCACTGTGCTGCCATACAGAAAATTGGGCAAATGATACAATGGTTAAACTTTGTGTATCAATTAAGTCATTTTGCAGGCTAGCTGGGCTTTGAATGCTGTCCATCTCTGTCCCAAGGAGTGCTGAGTCCTAGCACTCCTTGAGTAGATACGACTACTAGACCTAGGAGGTTGAAGAATGCTTCTTGTTCTTCTCTGTGTAGCAGGAAAAATGGCTGCTGTGAAATTTTCAAGGTTGTCGTGGAAAGTTCCTTCTCAAGCCCCTGTGTAGAACCACCAGTAACCAAAGCACCCTGCGTGCTGCGTTGTCGTGCGCTCCCTGGCTTCACTACAGCAGTGACTGTAGGAGGAACACAAGTGCTATGGTTGTCTCGCATTTTTCTTTGAGGTGGTTGATAGTAGAGGCCCCAAAATGGCCTTCCTGGGAGGAGAAACACATTCATGCATCAAATTTAAAGCAGCCACATTGAATATTATTCTTCCCAACACATTAAACTCCTTCAAGACTCAGCTAGCACTATAGTTAAATTACACTCCAATTTCTATCATCAGATTTACCTATTTTGTTTCTCCATGCCCCCAGCAGGAGAAATGGGAAAGTCTCAAAATAGCCACTCACAAAGTAGGTGGCAACTATTTGCTTAACCCAAGATGCATATATTGCTGAAAAGACATAATTATTCCATGTATACTACACACCAAGCATTGGGTGGGTCAAAACAGAACTCTACAGTATACTGAAACGCAATAAAATACTAAGTTATGGTCTTTAACCAGTAAAAATGCAATGAATAAAATGAGCAACACAAAACTTTCCCCTAACAACAAAAACTATTAGCAACTATAGCCCATATTCTGCCCATATTCTTCTCTATTGCCAGTTTTATAGGGACATTTGTCACCGGTCGATTGCCTGTTTTATTTCAATTTCTGGGGCACCTCAATAGCTTTTATCTGCATTGTTTAATAAACAAGTTAAATTTATTTCTCTAAAAGTAGCAAAATTTTGCTACATTGTGTGTACGTTTGCCCACAAATTATTGCGAATAGTTCTTGTTGTTAAAGGGATAGTTTTGTATTGCTCATTTCATTGACTGTATCTTTACTGGTCAATGGGCGAAGTTCTATCTACAATAAAAGCAGCACTTCATTTAAAAAGATAGCCGATTTAAGGAGATTTCAAGACTCAAAAAGCAATGTTGCAGCTACTCTGAATTTGTACAACCACAGCTTAATATTCGTGCTTGAATTAACCCTACTATCCACTTTCTCCCAAAAGTAGACAAGGAGTATATATGTTGTGTACATATATTTTTGGTAAACTCCCAAGATGCTTACTAAAATGGACAGTATGGAAATTTAAATAAATAAATAGGAACACACACTGCACTAAGCAATGATTTGCTCTGATTGTGGTATAAGTTATTCAGTTTGGCTTTACCAAACACTCTAGGCTACAAACCACAATTTAAACTACAATGGTTACATTGATGGGCTAATCTAATTATATTACAGATTATCTAGGAAAGAGTATTATTCCTATTTCATAACTCAATGCACGTGGACAATACAGCATTCAAGAACAGCTCTGAGTTTGTTTTGAATTCTAAGCTTTAAAATCCCATCTGATTGTAGCCCTTAACATGCTGTTCAGTGGAAATAAATTCAAAACTTAGAAAAAAATTCAAAACTTCATCCTAAACTCAATGACATACTTCGTTATCATGCAAATTATAATACAAGAAGGATCCATTATGGAAGGGATCCCGTAAAACACAGAGCAAATAGTTTGCTACCAAAAAAATAAATAAAAAATAAATACCACAGAAGTGGTATTGGGGCTTGGGGTTAAATAAGCCCACGCAGGACTCATCTGAAATGATTCCCAATTAAGATTTACATTTTATTTAACATATTTTATTTTTATTTGTCGTTTCTAACACCAGCAGATATGAATTAAGCATCGCATGGAGATAAATCAATTTTAAAGATTATTCATATAATCTTTAAATATAATAGTAATTTCAGTACTATTTCCAAACACTAAACCTGTCAGGACTGGGATGATTATCTCCTAAATCTTCAAACCTGCCCCCAAATTGCATCCCTGCCATTTTTTTCTCCTCTTCCATATTTTTTTTTTAATGGGCTAGCCACTTTTTTCTTTTTAAATCCACAAATGCAAAAAACATTGTTTTGCAACACTTGCATTCCTCCTAATTATATATTTTTTAAAAAAACATCCTTTGAGTTGCATTTCTCCCCCTTCTGAATAAAACCACAGCAGGTACATTTCCTTTGAGGGGAGCACTTGTTTTGCCATCCTGACAGGACTGCAGGATGAAGTTTTAGGGTGAGGGGGAAAACCCTCCTCAAAAATGCCTTATTTTGCTTGGTTAAATGGAGCTTCAATTGCGCACTAGACAAACACACACCCTCAAATGGGAGCAGGGGTTTTTTTTCATGCAAAAAAGAGATTAATGGCAGTCTCTGTGGAGAGCCGTGAAAGACACCAATAGAAAAAAATGGAGGGGAAAAAATGGCCACGCTTCTTCTTCTTCTTCTTACACCATTGCCCACTAAGCCGCTTCCCGCCAAAATTTTCCCGCCCTTTTTTTTACACCCCCCCCCACCTGAGCACAGCGACAACCACCCAAAGAACAGAGAAGCGAAGGGGGCACCGCTAAGCCTCGCCCACTTCTCCTCAGCCGCTACCGTTTATAGGCTCGACCGCCGCTCCGGCTGCACCAATCCCCGCTCAGAGGAGGCGGGGAGAATTGGGATAAACCTCCCTTCTTACAGATACAGATTAACAGAGTTGGAAGGGATCTTGTAGGTCATCTAGTCCAACCCGCCGACAGATGGCAGGCCAATCTGTCAATCAAGCGTTGCTGACGTAGCTACTGCTTGGCTGGGAATTTTTTAAAGAAGTTTTTAAAGTTTTTTTTTTTTAAATGCCAAATTGTGCTTTGTTTTAAGAGAGGGTTTGCTTGCTAAAGAGCTTGTAAATATTTTTCTTAATAGCTATCTAATACTTAAACTTATATACCACTTCATTAATAATGTGGTGCTTATTATGGGCTACCATCCATGCAACCGGATGGCAAAGCTTATCATTCAGAATAGAATTTTTTTTATTGGCCAAGTGTGATTGGACACACAAGGAATTTCTCTTTGGTTTTTTAAAAAAAAAAACAACCAGCGTACCTGTTCGAATTGCAACCCTTGGCTAGCAATGGATATTAAATTGCAAAAAACCATCAAACTTGGCCAACTCTGGCCATTAGACTGCAAACCCCATTATCCCCTGCCAGATGGAACTTGGCATGGTTTTTTTTTTTAGATTGCAAGTAATTTAGATTGCAAGTAATCCTTCAGCATGACTGTTGAAAAGTTTCTTTGCTCATCCAGTTCAGCCAGTTAGTAAGGGCGATAGGGTATAGGGTAGTTCTCGGGTGAAATCCAGCAGATAGCGGAAATTTTGAGCAGTTCGGAGAACCGGTAGTGGAAATTTTGAGAAGTTTGGAGAACTGGCAAATACCACCTCTGGCTTGCCCCAGAGTGGGGTGGGAATGGAGATTTTGCAATATCCTTTCCCCAGGAGTGGGGAGGAAATGGGGATTTTGCATTATCCCCTTCCCCTGGAGTGGGATGGGAATGGAGATTTTGCAGTATCCTTTCCCAGGAGTGGGGAGGAAATGGGGATTTTGCATTATCCTTCCCCTGGAGTGGGATGGGAATGGAGATTTTGCAGTATCCTTCCCTGGAGTAGGGAGGGGATTTTGCAGTAGCCTTCCCCTGAAGTGGGATGGGAGTGGAGATTTTGCAATATCCTGCCCCTGGAGTGGGGAGGGGATTTTGCAGTATCCTTTCCCTGGAGTGGGATGGGAATGGAGATTTTGCAGTATCCTTTCCCAGGAGTGGGGAGGAAATGGGGATTTTGCATTATCCTTCCCCTGGAGTGGGATGGGAATGGAGATTTTGCAGTATCCTTCCCCTGGAGTGGGGAGGGGATTTTACAATATCCTTCCCCTGGAGTGGGATGGGAATGGAGATTTTGCAGTATCCTGCCCCTGGAGTGGGGAGGGAATGGGGATTTTGCAGTATCCTTTCCCTGGACTGGGATGGGAATAGAGATTTTGCAGTATCCTTCCCCTGCCACGCCCACCAAGACACACCCACCAAGACACACCACGCCCACCAAGCCACGCCCACAGAACCGGTAGTAAAAAAAATTGGATTTCACCACTGGTAGTTCTTGATTTATGACCGCAATTGAGCCCAAATGTCAGTGGAGATTCTCAGTCGTCCAGATCATGGATGTCCCAAACCTTGCTTTTTTTCAAGAGGCAACTGGAGTCCCTGGATTTTCTTTGAAGACATTTCGCTTCTCATCCAAGAAGCTTCTTCAGCTCTGACTGGATGGAGGGGAATGGAAGGAGCCGAAGAAGCTTCAGAGCCGAAGAAGCTTCTTGGATGAGAAGCGAAGCGTCTTCAAAGAAAAACAGGAAAGTCCAATTACCTCTTGAATTCTTGAATTTTCAGAACTGAACTAAAGAAGCTTCTTGGATGAGAAGCGAAACGTCTTCAAAGAAAAAAACCACAAAGTCCAGATGCCACTTGGAAAAAAGCACTGTTGGGAGAATTGAGTCCCAAATATTTTTGTTGCTAAGCAAGACATTTATGAAGTGAATTTTGCCCCAATATTACGACCTTTCTTGCCACAGTTGTTAACGGAATCTCTGCCGTTGTTAAGTTAGTAACCCGGTTGTTAAGTGAATCTGGTTTCCCCATTGCTTGTCAGAAGGTCGCAAAAGGGAATCATATGATCCCGAGAACATTGCAAGCGTCATAAGTATGAGTCAGTTGACCAAGGGTCTGCATTTTGATCATGTGGCCATATGGGAGATGCTGCAACAGTTGTGTGAAAAATGGTCCTGTAGGAAGTTAGCCCCCACCCCTCTCCTAGGAAAACGAGATATTTTAGGAAATATTCAAAAGGGCAGAATATTTCCCCTAAAAGGGAGGCAGAAATTCAGCCCCCCCACCCCACCTTTGTCAATGGGCCATTAAGGCCTGGGCCAGTCTATTCTACATAATAAAGATCTACCTCCTTCAGGGAGAGCCATAGTAAGAATTACCCAAACGCCCTTTCATTACATCATCACCCGGCAAGAGTCAACCAAGCCTGGGACACAGACAACCTACAAAGTTACCCCTGCATAGCCCCGTGGGAGTCTGACAGCCAATCAGAATAACAAGCTCAAATTCAAAAGGCCAAGAGACGGTCTAAAAAAAAAACCCAGGCACCCTCAGCATCTCTTCCCTTTTTTTTTCTCTTCAAGGCATGTGATCCTGTCCACCATTAAAAACCATCTTTCCAAGCAATCTCCATTGTTTCCAGTATCTTGGAACTGAACCCATAAGGACATTTCTTCCAACGCCCCACGTCCCTTTTTAGTTAACTTTGAACGGTCACTAAATAAAACTGTTGTAAGTCAAGGACGTATCTGTATTTTTAAGCATGGCTTTAAGCCTATCTGCAGCTTAGGATTGAACTGGTGTTTTGGGGGGGGCTCCTGGTGATATTTCCTGCAAGCCAACAACAGCAGTAAAGCGTTTATTTATTAAATGCATCGCGTTTATTTATTTATATTAAATGTTTGCTGGAGGTTTTCAGAAACAGGACAACCATTCGACTGGGATTGGATAATAAGGTCTCCTCCTGCCCTGAGCATTTGGGGTTGGACTAGAAGACCTCCGGGGGTCCCTTCCAACATGTTCTAGAATGCAATGCAAATGGATATAAACACAGCGATGAAGATGGAAACCAGTGCCCACTAATGCATAAAGTTGCATTTTTATTTTTTTTTTGTAACTGGGCTGGCTTCCCTCCCGAGTAACCTCTCTGCTCCAGCGTAAAAACAAAAGCTGCAAGACAGAGCGACGCGTCGGCGCACGCGCGACATCCCCGTTCGAATTCGAACCCAGAACCCCCAAGCCTTCCCTGCTACCTTCCCAGCCCATTTTTCTTCGCCTAGCAACAGTCAGTCTTGTCCCAGTCGCCCTAACTCGCCAACCATTTTCCCATTGGAGGAGAGGCCAGACTTTGGGCCAATCAGCGGGAGCCACGGGACCCTCTTTTTTTTTTTTTCCCTTCCGCTGTCCCGCTCGGGGAGGACAACACTGCATGGGCCGTACCATTAGCAAGCTCTAGAGAGGGGTGGAAAAGGCGAAGAGAAATCCAAGGACCCGGGAGGGAGTTCAAAAGGATTTTGTTAGAAACCATCCTTCCGAGATGCTTCCAGGATAATCCAAAGAAGGGAGGAAAAAAAAAGCGGGAGAGAAAGAGGAAAAATAAAATAAAAGGGGTCGACCCCATACGCTTGGTACATCCCGGACGGAAGTGAGGTGTCTTCTGAGCGTCGGGACTTCCGGTTGGGCAGAGGAGACGAGTTGGTGGTTCAGGCTGGGGGCGCAGAGTCTTCCGAGGCTGGGTGAGTGGGGGGCCCGGCTTTGTCAGCGGGGAAGGGGAGGCGGGCCTGGCTCTGGCCGCCCCTGAGGACCCTCCGCAGCGGCTGTCATGGCTGTGGGGGGGCGAGGTTTCAGCTGTCTTCCCTCCTGCCCTTAGGAACCCCCTCCCCCTCCCCCAACCTATGAGTAGGTAATAATTGAGACAGGTAATAATGGGTGGGTAATAATCTCCATACTTGTCTGTTATGGGCAACCTTTTTAATTTGCAGCTAGGAAGTGCCAGCCAGCAGGTGAGCTCCCATTCCCAGGTATCCATTTCTATAGCTTGGAAGTGCCAGCCAGCCAGATAAGCCCCCATTCCTAGGTACCATTTCTAGCTAGGAAATAAATGCCAGCCAGCCATATATGTCCTCGTTCCTAGGTACCATTTCTGCAGCTAGAAAATAAATGCCAGCCAGCCACATATGTCCTCATTCCTAGGTACCATTTCTGCAGCTAGGAAGTGCCAGCCAGCCAGGTACACCCCTGTTCATAGGTACTATTTCTAGCTAGGAAATAAATGCCAGCCAGCCACATATGTCCTCATTCCTGCAGCTAGGAAGTGCCAGCCAGCCAGATATGCCCCCATTCCTAACTACCATTTCTACAGCTAGGAAGTGCCAGCCAGCAGGTATGCCCCCATTCCTAGGTATCATTTCTACAGCTAGGAAGTGCCAACCAACCATTTCTATAACTAGGAAGTGCCAGCCAGCAGGTATGCCCCCATTCCTAGGTACCATTTCTATAGTTAGGAAGTGCCAGCCAGCAGGTACCCCCCCATTCCTAGGTATCATTTCTGCAGCTAGGAAGTGCCAGCCAGTGGGTACGCCCCCATTCCTAGGTACCATTTCTATAGCTAGAAAGTGCCAGCCAGCAGGTACGCCCCCATTCCTAGGTACCATTTCTATAGCTAGGAAGTGCCAGCCAGTGGGTACGCCCCCATTCCTAGGTACCATTTCTGCAGTTAGGAAGTGCCAGCCAGCCAGGTCCGCCCCTATTCCTAAGTACCATTTCTAATTAGGAAATAAATGCCTGCCAGCCAGTTACACTGGGGG